CACTCACTCTAGCCTGGGCAACAAAGCGAGACTCTGTATCAAAAAAAAAAGAAAAAAAAAGTCAGATTAGGAAGATAATATATAAACATAGAAAAAAATAACAATGCAATAATTAAATGATAAGATGACAACATAAGGTCTATTACAAGGCGTAAGGCCAATAAGAAGTATCTGTCACACGAATAAACTCCTGAGTAGTGAGGAAGCAGCAAGATACAGTGAAAAGAGCTCTGTGCTATGCATTAAAAGATGTGAATTTCAAGTCTTGACTGGAATCAAGTGCTAACTACTTGATCAGTCATTTTACCCCTGACCCTAACTTTCTTTGTGAGTATGATGATAATGGATCAGTGCCTCTCAAACTTTACTGAACATATGAATCACCTGAGGATCTTATTAAAATACAAATTCTGATTCAGTCAGTCTGTGTTGGGGCCTGAGATTCTGCATTTCTAATCTGTTTCTACATGTTGCTGATGCTGCTCATCCAGGGCCCTACTTTGAGTAACAATATACAAGATGATCTCTAAGATCTCTTTTCACCCTGTGAGTTAGATTGGTAGGGCTGTGCATTTGTAAGGAGAGGTCAGCTTCACAAAGAAGTAGGCATTGAGCTTGGGCTGGACATCGAAGGATGAATTAACTTGAGAGAAAGCCTTTAGGGCAGAGGAAACAACATATCTGAAGGAATAGTGGTAGGAATATGAACTTATCAGCCATGAACTGTTAACCTCCAGATATTTTTTGTCTGTGTTTAAGTCATTATTAATGTCTATTTTGTCTCATGCAGTAAAATTTAATTTTAGTTTATGAGCTACTACAGTTTTGTAATGGAACTTTAGAATAAACATTCTAATCATTAGTATTACATAGATTTCCTAAATCTTTCTTTTCCTCTTTCTCAATGTTCTTTGTTTCTTGTTCCTATTTCTGTTACTTTGTAATATTGATTCTATGGTCTCAATTCTTTACTTTTGCTAGTTTGTTGGTATGCTGTGTTTTAACATATATAGGTATTTTCTGTTCTGTGTTCCTAAAAAGCCATATGTTACACAAAATTGCACACTAAAAATAATGGCCATACAGAAAATTTAAGTTTTATATGGTCCTTGCCTTGTTGCTTCTAATAGCAAACAATTAAAATAAAACTTAAATTTCCAACAGTAGAGAACTGGTTGAATAATTATGATTTACTGATACAATGAGATCTTGTTTATCCATTCAAAAATGAAGTGAATGTACATTGATTGACATGTAAATGTGCTCATGCTTCATTGTTTAGCAGAAAAGAACAGGTTACAGAATACTATGTTCATGAATCCACTTATGTTTTTAAATATTCAAAAATAATTGAGAAATTTACATAACTTTTGCATTCATCTGGAGTGACGGGACTATGGATGATTTTTCTCTGTATCTGTTGGAATTTGATAATTTTTTCCACAATGAACATATACTATTAATAAAAATATTTTAAAATAGAGCATACATAAAATTAGTAATTTTATAATATCACAGAAAAACAATTACAGGAATGGTGACCCAAATTAATGGTGAATTTGAGGAAATTGTTCCAAGTTCAAATCCAAATTCCCAAACTGAAGTAGAGGAAGCCAGTTTATATACCCACGAGGACTACAGTGAAGTCTGTACACCTGTCAGCTGTTCAGAAAAATGTCCAGCACTTCAAGAACAAAACCAAGGTAAAACATTTGTTATTTCAATTGTTATAAAACATTTCTTATTAATGTACAGATTTTCATTTTAGTAAGTTTTTAAATTTTTTGTTCTACTAAAGGTATCTACCTGCATAATTATAATCCTAAACTTTGCCACATTAGGAAAATATTTCATCATTCATATTAATCCCCTTTTTCTAAATTGGGTTATTTTGGAAGTTTCAGTTTGCTGGGCCTCAAAATAACCTACAGAGATTTGATCATGGTGTGCTCACAACATATTGCTGTAATGATATTGGCATTTATGTACAGATCTCATGACATAGCAATCCAGTGTAACATTAAATTACTAGATTGTGAATTGATGGTTATATTTTATTTTTCAAAACATGCTAAAAGTTTTCAACCTCATCTAATTTATGTGAAATCAGAGTTCAAAGTAGAGATGGAATAGTTGCAGTACTAGGGTCAGGAAATATACTCAGTTTATAAACTTACTGTCAATAATAATTAAAAGTGTATTTTATCCAAACTGTATTCCAAATCTCTCATTTTACTAGAGGGCACTAACTTCTTCTAAC